CGCAAACTTTTATTGCATGCATTTCTTGTGTTGAATTTGAGTTACTGTAAAGTTAGTTTTGGTAGTCAAAAAGTTGCCAATGAATTTCAAAATCTACTACGTGAAAATACACTTGTTTATTTTTAAGCTGTATCCTCATGAGTTTCTTCATCTGCCTCTGTACGAAAAACACTGACTAATCACACACTATTCTCTGCACCATTTGTGATTTTAGAGACTGCTACCATACTCACCCTCAGCTCTCTCTCCTGTTCACCGAAGAACTAATTCAACCCTAAAGATTTGCTCCTCACACAAAAGATACTTATGTCTTTAAGTATGCTGTTGCTTCTCTCGGTAACTTGATAGGAGACCTTTTTGAAAGCTGACTGTAAATCCAAATGGACTACTGGAATCACCATATCTCCATATTCACCAACTCCTCTGAAGAACAGGAAAACTGAATTATGTCTAAAATAGCCAAACTGATGCATCATTTTATATCACATCTGTTCGTGGCACCATTTACAGAGACCTTTTTTTTTTTGGGGGGGGGGGGGGGAACCAACAAAAAAAACCCCAATACACCAAAACCCCAAACTTGTCACTTTTTATTTAGGTAGAAAGTTTTAAGCAAAATGTTTAAGCCACAGATAATAGTTACACAGTTTCAAATTTGAATTCCTTCAAGACTCTCACAAAACTACTGCCTGACCTTTGTATTTATTCTAATAAACTTGCCCAAAAATGTTTTCATTCACATTTTCTGTGCAGGAAGGGTTCAAGAGACGGACCTTTTCACCTTCCCTCATGATGAACAGAGATGTGAACAATCAATACTTTAAATCCAACTGAAATCCACATTTTAATACCATTTCAAAATAACTTGCCTTTTTTTGTTCCGTTAAGTTGCAAATTTATTTCAGAAATCTTGTGATGTTGGTGATATATTCCAGCATTAATCAAGTACCGATTAAAAATAAATCCCTCTCAGAACATAGGAATAAGAACAAGGACTTATCAAAGCAAGCCGCCTTACCAGACATACCATAACTTACTATACAACTGTCTAAAATTATTTCTTTAGGTTATTTCAAGTTTATTTTCACTTTTTTTTTTTCTTTTTGGAATAACCAAACGTAAATTCAGATAACTGTATCTCTGGCAAAACCAAACTACACAAGTTCCTGGTGTGAAATTACAGGCAAAAGCTAAAATTAGTCCAAATTAGCTTCTCTTTTTCTACCACATGACAAAAGTCTGCAGATAAGGGTAATTAAATTTTCCACTTCATAGTATCACTTAATAGTCTGATTTGTTTCAAATTATCCATCAAACTGCATAGTTAAGGAATACACTGCTAGCAGTCTGAAACTGTGCTTTTAGTTTCCTGACAGTCTTTAGGTTCCATTACAACATCACGATTTTGAGAGTTGCAGGGCCTTTGTTATAATAAAAAAATTGTTCATTGAAATTATGAATGCTGCCAATCTTCAAAATAACTTGGCATCCTGCAAATGTTATTTTATCACAACAGAACTATAGAAAGTATATTGAAGTACCTGCAGGTAAGCACCCACATTTTGTAGGGAGTCCTATACTGCAAGGTAGATGTTGTTATCTGTAGTCAGCAATAGAACGGGAAGAATTACTTCCAGCATTTCAATTTGGCTTAGGTAAAAAAAAAGCCTTAAAATATAAAGATTATGACCATTCTGAGTGTTCAGAAGACAGCTAAACAGGGTTGACTTGGATTTTGTTTTCCTGTGGCTCATCCCTGAATTGACGTAAATAGGCATACCTTTAACAGAACAGAATTCATTGCAAGGAACTTGGCGAAAAAGTCGCAGGAAGGGAGAAATGCAAATGTAGAACAAAATAAAAAAAAAGGGGGGGAGGGGGCTTACTAGTAAAGTTAAAATTTCACCAAAACATTCCTGATTTTAAACAGAAATTACAGTACTGGAGTGGCCAACCTTTCAAAACTCACAATGAAAATTTTCATGTGGTCAAAAAAAAATTAAAAAAAAAAAAAAAAAAAAAAAAAAAAAGACATGTGGCACATACCTTGTAGAGCTGATGGGAGTAAAAGTAGTAGTATATGGGAGGAAAAAGATTATGATGTTGGCTCTTTCTTAAAAGAAGACACTTTCACCCGGACTTGACAGGAATAATCCAAAACTCATTGTGCCATGTAGCTGGCTGACACAGCAATGACAGATAATAAGCCCTTTTCAGAAAACTGGTGATGCTACGGACTAATCTGCTAGAAATGGGAAAGGACTTCACACAATATATCTACACAAGTCCAAGCGTAAACTACTTCAGATCAGCCCCTGTTTTGCGTAAGACATTTCACAATAATGGAATCTACAAAACTCTAAAGAAAACCCCTCAGATATACACAGCTCAATGAAAGAATGTTAATGTAACATCTACGTAAGGCTCCTCTGCAACACTGGCATGCAATTGTCTTGTAATTCTTTAATGCTCTTTTGGTTGTCATTGCCATGTAAGGTGGTAGGATAGCTCAGATGCACGCAAATACCACTGGGTAAACAGCTTGTTCTATTTGTTCGGGAACTTTATAAACTTTTTCTTTCCTCATTAATGATTCTGATACTTCCAGAGGTTTGAAATATTACTGCCATGAAAATCTCTGAATAGGTGGATGCAGCACAGCTACATCCACTACCAAAATGAATCTCTAATCTCATTCATTATTTGTATTAGCTTCAAGTCCTCAAAATCTCTTTGATTTCCATTTTCAGACCAACAGTTGAGGATACTAAAAAAACTAATTATGGTAGTTTAGCTGTTGCGGCTTTTGTTTTGACATATTCTAGATTTGGGACCAATGTTACCTGTCATAACACATCGCAGAGTAGACACAAGCTGGAGTTCACCAACGCAACATTAACTGCTGAAGGTACTTAACTAAAGACACTCAGATCATCTTGTACAATTTCAGTTCCATCCTAGTGCTGTAGTATTCTGTTAAGTTAATGAAAGGATAATGAAGTTTAGTATCTAGTAGGTTTTTGATCTTTAAAATATATTCCTGCTAGCACTGGTCCTCTGAAAGCTCTTGCACACAATTTCACTTCTAGGGTTTGAAGACTATCATGATGCAATGAAAGAGAGTTGACTATCAAAATGTTCATTCTTAAGAAGCTATCCAACAAGAGGAAAAAATCCCAAGTCCTAGGAAAGCGACTGGGCTCAAACACGACTTAAAGACTTCAAGGTGGGGCACACTGTAAAGAATCATAATGAACATATGCATAAAAAAAAAAAGAAGAAAAAAAAAAGAAAAAGAATTCTTCCTCAGGAAGGGAGTGGGACTTCAATTCTCTTTCAAATATTTCCATTACCTTAGCAGGAGAAACAAAAGAAAGAAACTGTGCTCTATGTGAGACTGATTCTCATTAAAAGAAGTATAGATTAGCATACATCAATTTCATGTATTAGGTGTCCAAAGATAACGTTGGGTATCTAACATTTATCAGTCATCTCCCTGGACTACATAATTTCAAAACCCAAGCTGTGCATCTGCTGCATTAGATATCCAAGCACTTTGACAACCTTACAAAGCTTGAAGACCATTAAAATAAGATCTTGCTGCTCTTCACTTGTAAAAGACAGACAAAAAACCCTAACAAATGGCTTTTCTTATTACTGTCTCCTTAGCAAGATCAGCATATTAAGCTTAGCTGGAACACAAAGAGAAGCAGTAGATTCTGGACTGTTAAGATTCCAGTTTGGTGCACTGTGGTGTTCCTGGAAGACTTTAGGCTCCATTGCATAATGCAGCATTCAAAATTCAATAGGAAGATGAGTGGGAATAACAGTTCTTGTCTGTGATAGGAAAAGAGCAACATCAGCCAACTGGTTGATTACACTGAAACTGGGTCAAAAACAATGCTTTAAACAAATGTTAGCCAGCATATAGGACAGCTGGTTAAACTGAAACAAGAATATAATCAAATCTGAGAAACACAAGGTAGTTTTATGCCTTCTTTTAGCTGGAATTCAGTGCATAACACACCATTCTTTAGATCTATATGAAGAGAGCTGTCTCAACTGTTTCTTTTGTGACAGCTGAGATAAAACTCAGTTGCATATGAAAAAGGTGTACCCTCCCCCAATTTATAATAGATTTCACTGATGATGTGTTGATATCTCAATTTGTTAAGTAAAAGTTAAAGGAAAAGCGAATAAATCAAAAGCCACAGATATGTAACCAAGGATTCCAAACATAATATTGCACATTATTAAAATTAATGATTTAATATCACGTAAGACAAACTGAGTTTAGGCTACATATTCAATGTTAAGGCTGAGATGCTATCACCACTTCTCTTGTTAGGCAATAGGAAACCTCACCACAGATAAACATGTAGCTAGCAATAAAAAAAGATAACTATAATTATATAATTAGTATATGCTGACACTGTGTGAGGCACCTGACACTCTTCTGACTTAATTTGTGAATATTTAACTGTCTTAGTTTCACTGTAGAAGAACAGCACAGAGAAACAATTGCAATCTCAATCTTTTGGACTGAACCTCCCCCATATCCAACACAAACCCCAGTGCTTTCTATTCCAGTCATGAATGCTTCTGGAATAATGACAGTATTAATTTGGCAGAAAGGAGGTTAGATAATATACATTTATAGACAACAGTGTAAGTTATACTCAAATGTTAAATTTTACATATCATACCCCACCCTTCAACTGACAAAATTCTCTTGTATAGAAAGAAAAAAACCCAGCTTCTATTGAATTTGTATACGCAAGGCTGGTAAGTTTAAACAAGATAGTGACTATAAAACTACCAAAGATAAACCATAATCTTTAAAGTTGCAGCTGATTTCAAACATTCCTTTTGATAGATTCCTAGTACAGCAATTTTTTAGAGGTATGAACACTCCAAATCTCCTCTATTTATAGGGAAGTTTGTAACAGGTTCAATTGGAGACATCAAAAACATTTTAAATAGACATCACAAGATGCATCTGTAGTTTAAAGGTCAAATTTATTAGGAGATTAAGAGATGTATTATACATGGACTATAAATATAGCACAGCTGACTTTATTCACAGTCAGACAGCCAATGCCAACCTATTTTGTAGACACCCTTGTTCTTTTGTTCCAAGAAAAGTTTGCACCATAAGACTTGGATTTAGGTTTTGGCATCTTCTTCTCTTCAACGTCATAGCTCCAGCCTGGAGGTTACAGGGGAAATGGTGGAGGAAGACAAGAAACAAAGAGAATTCTAAATATTCTCAGCATACAATATAGAACAAATGCAACTTAAACCTTTTAACTTTTAATCTTTTTCTCCACATAGGCATCCCCTAGTTTATTCCTTTGTAGCTGGCAGCACAGAATACTGAAATGCCACAGGTGTGACATATGCCCATTCTCTCAGTTGGTAAGACTTCACCATACTATGTACTACCATCCTCTTCACTCCTGCAAAAAACTTGACAGTCGTCAGGGAAAAGCTCAACAGGGAACACTGACTGTCCCGAAAGTTCCTGGCTCCACAACTCAACAGTATCACAGAAGCACTAAGGCTCTGTGTATGCTGGGACAGGAAATGAAAATAAAGATAAGGAAATGTGGAAAAAATATCATACAGAAGATCAATCCCAAAGGTTAGGAGAGAATGGAGACCTTGGAAAGCTAGAGAAAAAGAGAAGGGTGGAGGACCGAAGAAAGGAAGAGCAAAGAAAAAACTTCAGCATTAGAAAGGAGTTTAATACTTACCATTTTTGTAAGAACATAAAAAATTAGGAGTAAAAGAAAAGGGAATGAAGTGATACAAGACAAGTAAATTATGTGATAGTTAAGCAAGAGAAATGCTAAAAAATGTCAGAAAAGAGGAGGTGGAGACATTAGTGTTTATGTAAATCAAAATGCAAATTGGTTGCAGCCTCCAGGTGCCTGGAAAGTTGCCAGGGCAGCACTCAGTATTCCAAAGTTTGGTCTCTTTAGCTGCAACATTTCACTCAAAGTTGAGATATTTGAGTTGAAGCTAGACATGGTTAAGTATGCAGTTTTAACTGATACTAATAAAATGATACTTTTCTTCCTTAGTTTTAAAACAAAAACTTGATAAGCTCTAAAAAGTGTAACATATATCTGATTTTTTACATTTAAGATGTTCACAGAAAACACTCAAGATACAAAATATGTTTTGATGTGTAGATGTAAGATACACAGGTTCTGTGCCTCAATTTTGTGTATTCAGAAATGACACAAAAACATTTTCTTCGTGTTTATTAGGCTGAACCAATGTTAATTTCCGAGTTAACTATTCTCCCTAAGAAATACTCCAATAGAGGTTTTAAAAATGTATTCTTTCCATCTGTGAGAGCACTGTCTTTTGCCTCCTGGTCTGATTAAAAATATAAGCTTGAGTAAACAGCCAGAACCAGATCCAGAGACTGACTTTGGTATTGCAACATTCAGCATTAAAACACCTAACTTTGAGGCACTTGGCTGCTGGAATGGAATATACAGCCCCAAGTTATTGCTTCATCTTTTTATACACTAGATAGAGAGGAGCCGACTGCCTCCAAAAGAGATTCGCAACTGCCAGCACAATGACTTGGGCTGCCATAGCTATCCAAAATCCACAAAGTTAGTTACGTCTAACTTTGGATTGCAAGAGACTACCATACGCTCTGGAACAGTCTCCTTGAGCCAGGCACCTTCAGTTGTTTATGAGAGAGAGCGGAGGTCACTTTTACAAAAATACCACGATGGTGGGGGAGGTTATTCTTGCCCAGAGCCCTGCCATACAAGCCAAGTGGACAGAAAGCAGATTTCACCATCTGTGGAAGAATGCCCTCATCACCTGACTAAAGGTTATTGTGGAGTAGAAAAACTCTCCATCCTGGTTACTAAAGTTGTATGTTTTTAAACAACTGCCTCAGTGATGTCAGACAGGACAAAAGCCAATTTAGGTCAATGGGCTAAACTTTTTGTTTCATCCAGTTACAAGTGTTTCCTCCTTGCCTTGACTACAGGCCATCTTCAGCTGTCATATTTCAGACAGAGATCTCTGCCTTTACTGTATTCAGTGCTCATATTCCTACACTCAAAAACACATCAGATGGGGCAGGCAGAAAGATAGCTTGCCTCAGGTTCCTGCAGTTCTGAATTGAGAAAGAACTCTTAGGTTTCCCAATCACATCAAAATATCTGCAATATCTAGGATTTGCAGAAATTAAACTTGAGGTTCTTAAGGAAATTTTTAATGAAAAACTTGGGCAGTTTATATGGGAAGGACAGAGAAATAAATATTTGTGTTGCTAGACTTTGACATGTTTCAGTAACACCTCAGTTTAGAAGCCAAGGTCCATTGTAAATGTGTACCTAAGTTTCCAATTTTTTTCTAAAAGCAGAACTAAATATTGTAAAATTTATATTTTATCAGCTACATCTGATACTGAAGCTCTTTCTACAGAAAATGTTATGCACGTATCATAAGCATAAAACTAAGGCACTTTAAATAAAAATGGAATAATAGTTTAGGCAAGCCAGCATCTGCAAAAAAGTTTGGTACATCTCAATTAGGGTAAAATTAAGGGTTCAAGGTAAGTGAAAATTGAACTAATAATATTAATACTAAGTCACAGTCTTTGTTTAGTTGGTAGAATTGCTTTGTAGTTTTCACACACAATGAAGATTCATTACTAATTCAGTGAAGGCATAAACTTTCTACACTGAATAAATTAAGTATTTTACTTGAATCTGCATTTCAAAAGGACAAAATATAACATGTCCAAAGAGATGACATAAGTAGCTCATTAATGTAGTAATATATAGGCCAAGATTCAGTTTTTTTCTCTTAAAGGCTGAATTTCCCAAGAAACAGAAATACCATGAACAATACAGAAGCATAAGTAAAGCAACACCACATTCTCCCAAATTTCATGCTTGTTCATAAAACACTGCAAAATACTATTAAAATTGGATAGTAATTGGTATGTCCAATGCAAATATGATAAGCCTATTAATTTCTTAGTGAATATGATTCATTTTTCAATAAAATTAAGACTATTAAGTTAAAAAAAGATCCATTTGAAGAGGAATAGAGGAATTAAATACTAGCTTTTACCATTAAAAAGTGCCAATAAATTGCACATGAAAAGGTTTAGCTTCTTAATTGTTTAAGTTAATGAACTTACCCTGTTTTTTCGGAGAACAAAAACCATCTAACAACTTTGCACAACTTGGTCTCACCAAGAAACTTCACAATCTATTTACCCCAGACTAAATAGAGTTTAAAGCTGTAGACCACAGGGAAGACTTCTGGAGAAGCTTACACTCCATGTGCATTATTCCTGGCTTTAACTCAGTGCAACTAACCTTCCTCACATCCATGAGCACTAAGCATCAAACCTAGCTCTTTATGGAAAATGAAACACAAAAAATGCAGCTAGAAATTCATACCAACACATAAAAGGACTGCTAAATACTCAAAAGGCTGAGACTATGGATATTGCTTGCAGTACCATAACTCTGTGAGAAAATACAAGCCTAAATAACCAAATAAGTTTACAGATACAGTCCTTCAGATACATCATTAGCATTAAAATATTAAGTAACAATACTGGCCTTTCTACTATCGTTTTCTCAAATGTGAACAATCATCAAGTGTAAGTGCTTAGACTTTAGTACCGTACTTGGGAAGAGTTAGGTACAACCTCCTTAGCTTACAACTTCCTCAAGGCGGGCAGCGGAGAGGGAGGTGCTGATCTCCTGTCTCTGGTCACCAGTGATAGGACACGAAAAAATGGAATGAAGCTGCGTTAGGGGAAGTTTAGGTTGGACATTAGGAAAAGGTTTTTCACCGAGCAGGTCACTGGTCCCTGGAACAGGCTCCCCAGGGAAGTGGTCACAGTACCAAGCTTGTCAGAGTTCAAGTAGCATCTGTACGATGCTCTTAGTCATACGCTTTATTTTTAAGCAGTCCTGTGATGAGCAGGGAGTTGGACTTGATGAACCTTATGGATCCCTTTCAACTTGAGGTATTAAATGATTCTATGATAAATCAATTCTACAACATGGCCAAAACTTAAGTCCAACATACTTACTTAGTAGTCACTTAATTTTAGTTCTTCTGATTACCAAATATTCAACAAGGGTTCTGACAGTCTTTCCTTAAGTAGAATTCAGATGTTCATGTCAAGCCTTCAGGCTAAAACTCCACTGTCATGTAGCTGGGACCCCCAGCCTGGGATACTCTTAAAGTATTAATATTAAATTTTCCTCCAAGACCTGATCAAAGCTCAGTTCTCATTCAAAACACAGGTAATTGCAAAAGGATTCCAATAGTAATGCTAAGAGACTGGAATACTTCTCTGGAAAGCGGAAGGCCTAGCTTTAATGTCTTCAGCACCCTTAGAAATATTCCCCCGTTTTCCTTCTCCTCAAGTAGAGCACTAATGATCCACCAATTTTGTGGAACAGAGGGAAGATCCTTTATCCTGCACTTTTTCTGTTGTTAATACCTTGAGATCAAGATTGCCTATTGAAAGCTGAATCTCTCATACCCAAAATGTACAATACGTACCATTTTTTTCAGCAAAGGCAATGGCATCTTCTTTAGTAGAGAAAGTAAGAACCATGTTGGATAAAGGATCAGCTCTGTAAGAAATCAGATGACAAACTTTAAGCACATTTGAAATATAAAATAATTATATCTGCATCTCAAATGCTAGTCAAATGCTGTATTACACAACTTTTTGTAGTACACCACCTCACAAGCCATTCAAAATCCCTTTATTTTTCATTATTTCTGGGATTAACACTTACTTTCTGCAGAGTATTGTTTCACTCTTTCAGTCTGTTACGCTTCCCTCCCATCTCCTCGAAAAATTAATTTTTAAAGTTTTTTATTAGACAAAAATGTCTAACCTGCTGCTGAGGTTATAATAAGCACTCTACAACAATCTTTTTAATTTTTAAAGCTATGTAGTCCCTTATCTTTTTGGAAGATCAGGAGGCTTAAGGTAATTTTGAACATTTCAAGGAGACCAGGAGTCTATAGAGCAGGTGGGGAAGAATAATCTACAGAAAAGAGCAGAATATCAAAGTAAGCAGAGAAGGAATTAATCAGAAACTGAAAAGTACACAAAAAAAATTCAAGAGTTCAGCTTTGTCTGATGTCACATGACCTCCACAACTTATTCCAGTACAGCAAGTGGATCTCAGGCCACCACGGAAAACAAAGCTCAGAAATGCAAACTGCTAGTTAACTCAATACACAGTGGTTAGTTTTAGACTATCAGCTACTCCTCAACTGCATTTCTGAATCTAACAGCAAAAAGCTTTTTGAAACAAATTAAAATCTCAGTTAAAAAAACCAAACTGCCTTATTTGTTGCTATAAAAGCTCAATGGAAGAACAATGACAAAGGATGAAAAGGAAATAGCATTCTAAAAATTAATCTACAAAACTTTCAGAGAAATAAGATACCGGTTGTAGCAGCACAATAATTAGATAATGCTTCCCTGAGACAACACTGCACATAAGCCTAGGAGACAACCGGGAAGACAAGACCAAATTGCAACAACCTATTGAAGGAGCTGCCTCTCAACTGTTCTCTCTTTGAAGCTAGAAGCATAAATGAAGAGAATAAGCAACCAAAGACACATTGAACTCTCTACAATAAAGGACAAAGCCTGTGACTGGTGGAGGGGGAGGGGAAGAGGGGGAATCTAGCTTCCAGCAAAGACAACAATGTAATATTATCTGATGTACAAATGGAAAAATGGAGTTCACTATATATCCAATATATTCCCCAATAAAAAAAAAAAAAACTAAAAACCAAAACCAAACAGGATAAAGGCAGAAATTACACTTTCACAAGCCACTAAGATGGGCTCTCTTAAAGACATTTAAAGATTTCTCTTAGAAAGGCAGTAAGGAGAATTAGGAACTAAGAATTAGTCCATGACATGATCAGTGGAAAACCAAGTGACCCAAATATATCGTAATACTGTGACAACTTTTGCTTGTCGTTCTTCTCTTCCATGACTGGGGGAAAATCTCCTCAACACTACTACGTGGGAACAAAGAAGTTTAAGTCTGAAGCGTAGTGAGGGACTGGTGCCTGTTCAGTACTGCAAGTTTGGCAAAAACCTTCCAAGACAGAGGCAGTTCAGAAATCAGGACTGTGCAGAAATGATGTGTTCTGTTTTCATGTGGGATCATCCTTCATCCAATCTAAATACATTTTTTTTTATTTCTTTCCATAAATGAGCTATCCATGTGTTTAAATTTGTGATAATCTGTGAGCAAACTGGAGTTCCGGATGGCCAGCATGATGTCCTGATAGTGTGAACAGTAGAGCGCTGCAGGATTTCCTATGCCTCCCTACGCTGTGTCACCAGTCACTGCAAACTGGGAGTCCGCATTTTGTTCTCTTATGAGATCTTGTACAATGGAAACCATGCGTTTCCCATGTTTCTTTGTTTACAGCTTTATATTGAAAGATGTACTCAAGAACTATCCATAGGCATTCC